GATATTTTACGAAAATTTGTCCTTCCAGTTTTGATTAAGACTGGATAAGAATAAGTGACACTTCACATAAAGAAAGGCGGAAGTGATTGGCTCGGAAATCCATAGGCTGTCTTGATTACCACTGTTACTTTGCGTGGAGAATCCCCAGTCAACCGTACAGTCTAGTGGAATATGCTCCATAATTACGTCACAACAAAATCAGATAATCCACACACCCAAAGATCGATTAAAGCAGACAACTCTGACAACACTGTCGCCATCCACCCAGGCCATTGATCAAACTCCGGTGAAACGTCAGAATTATTATATTATGCATGCATTTCTTAACTTGTTTTATCTTCCTTCACTATGGCTCATTTATCAAAACGTATTTCCATCACCACCGTCGCAGCTCACATGTTTAAATCAAAATCAAGATTTGGTGTGCGTCACAACATTGTGTAGGTAAGGACAAAATTATTATAACAGCTCCCACTTGAACTGCGTACGGTATCAGGATTCCAAAGGACAGTACCGAAAGTGTTCGAGTTGTCTAACATGAATTCAGGATAATTCGAAACTCCCTTCTTACGACGCACCTTTCGAAAGTAGAAACTAAAACGGTAAAAACCAGAACTTGTGCCAGAGGAATGTCAAGTAACTGGTCCATGAAGTCCCAAAATTTAAGCAGGTCTACCTAAAATCGTCATAATGACAAAACACGAAACTATTCACCTAAGAGAAACATTGGCCTACTTCAATGAACCAAGAACGATGGAACAAGAGGTTAAGAACTAGTCACCTAGGAGAGGTACTGGAAACTAGGAAAGGCTACACATCAAGGTCAAGGACCGGCTGACCTAAGAGGTCGATGCCTGAAAACATAAATAATTACAGAGGTCAATGATAGTAAGTAAGACGCAAGGCAAGAATGAATAAGCATACTTAAAATCAGGAAAGATAGTAGAGCAAGATCGAGGGAGGAGTACCTAAGACGCATGCACATGTAAACAGAAAACAGAGCCCATCACCCTCACATTTTCTAACAGGACACTTGAACCTCACCGCTGGTAAAGACGGGCATCACATTAACATTGCTAACTAAAATCAAGTTGTCAGATAAATCGGTGGGTTGCTGATTACTTTGACGGGCCGTCTGAAAACTAATTTTTCTCTCATATTCAGTACAATCCTCAGAAGAGTTTTCAGTCATTTTTATCATTTGAATATCCTGTTATCTTGCATTAGGTCTAAACCTGTTTCTACACCTCTAAATACACTGTTTCGGTTTATTCTTCTTTGTCCCTTGCTGGTCCACAATTCCTTCCGATTTCTAAAGTGTCTATAAAAGCTACAGAAAATCTCATTGTAGTAAGTCTATTATAACTCCATTTTACAATTATATCCAAGTGCATTATATAGGCCCTTATTTCCTAATAGGCATAAACACGTAAATCTTAATCCGTAAATGACCTAAAATTATTTCTCCTAAGTACAATGCACACTACGCTGTAACTCTTAAAAATATTAATTCTGTTGACTGATTACAAAGTAGAATGGCCGTTTTAAGAACCCAATCCTCGATCTAAGCTAAACTTTTCTTTGAAACTTGAATTTCATCTGATTCGAATTTACAGAAACTTGGCAATGATACAGTTCATCGTAGTCATTAGTTTACACCCGCCATGAACAGTTGAGAGAAGAAGTCTCGAAATTTTTGTGACGAAACTATGGAACGGACCGCTTTATCGATTTAAAACGAAACCTTAACCACAACGGTATTTCCGATCTTTGGTGACGTCGATGTATTAATCCAAGCAATCTGTTCAGTAGTTTTTATTTGTTAGGAAGAACATGCATAACAGCTTTACAGCAGATGCTGAAAATGTACGCCACCTTCTCGAAGACAAGTGTTTCGTGCTACTTTGCGAAGTGTTTCTGGGTCAGTGTAGACAAATCCGTTTTTTGTTACATACAGAAACCAAAGCGAAATTGTTTGTACATATCGTTATATTCATCATAACAATTAATGTTTATAGCAGCCTCAACTAGTTGTGTATATTATGTTGATTACAGTAGGCCGGCGTTTCTCAACTTATGGTACGCGTACCACTGGTGGTACGGGAGCCAAGTAAGACAATCAAAAGACAATATTAACATAAATAAGTTTTCCCTGAACTCATTTGGTAAGTGGTACATTTAATGTGTTAAATTAGAATTAGTGGTACGCCAGCAAAAAAGGTTGATAACCCCTGCAGTACGACTTCTGAACTTCATAAAGTAAAATTTGTAGGACTTCTGAACTTCATAAAGTAAAATTTATACTTGACCGGCATGCATAAAAGCTGCAACTTCTAGTGTAAATCCCCGTTACCAGACATTAATAAAGTGCGTTGAGCATTTTCAAAAATTAGAGCTTACAGATACAACTTCCCCATTACGCTTTCAGTGCAACAGATAAAAAACAGTCTATACAATTTACCTGGAGGTCTCAAATATTAAAGTTCAGACAGGACAGTCCATGTTTATAATAAATTTCGTCCATTTGGAAATCAGAAAGGCTCACCCATTCTTCTTTATGATACGCATTACCTAGTAATAGACAACTGCCAATTATTTCATAGCAAGACCCTTACATTTACGTGAAAAATTAAACTAGTCTCATAATAAATAGGGTAGGAGAGTATGAACTTGTCATTTGGCTCAGAATAGGGACCAATGGCAATAAACCAATAATTAACCTCCACTTTCATTAAAATGTGAGAATTTCTTGACTATTTGAGCAACTCTTTGGCTTCTTCGTAAGAAATATGCTTCATGGAATTAGTCTAATTAGACTACCTACTGCCTGTATAATTCCTTCCGCGATCTGTACTTGCTGCAAGCACAACACTGGCCACAAACCCATTGCTCCCTTAAGTGGTCTCAAACATCTTTGATACATTTTTAAACTACCGTTCCATTATACTTCTAACATTCAATTCAGCAAACAAAATTCGCGGTTCTTATGGCGGAGATAATGTTGATGCTGGTCTTCTGGGCTGTACCACCGTGTGGACTTGTAGGCAGATAGCAACGTTTCAGAGGATCATACTTCAGCCCTGAAGATGGAGGCATTGTTTCTTCGAAACGTTTATTATCTACCTACAAATACACGGTGTTTTACAACACAGACAACCAATATCTTAAAAATCTGTACTCCTCCCCCAATATTGTCAGGGTGATTAAGTCGAGAAGAATGAGATGGGCTGGGCATGTAGCGCGCATGGATGGGGCGAGAGGTGTGCACCGGGTATTGGTCGGGAAGCCTGAGGGGAAGAGAGAGCTGGGGAGACCTAGACGTAGATGGGAGGATAATGTCAGGCGGGATCTATGGGAGATAGGAGTTGAAAGAAACTGGATTTTGTTGGCCCAGGACTGGGTCCGGTGGAAGGCTTTGGTTAATTCGGTGATGAACCTTCGTGTTCGGTAAGCCATCTAGTTAGACAGCCAATATCGACAAACGTACACTGTAGGTTGCTCTTATCAGAGCATTCTTATTGGTGTATCAAATGATCAATCAAGTTAATCCTAGCAAGTTAACCATAAAGAAACATGGAAGAATCTAATGTAGAATTTAAAAATACATTTTTAATTAAATTAAAATCATTACTTATTTTTTCTCAGTAAAAGATTTGTACTACCTAATGCAGTGTAGTCTCAAACATGATTCTACATCAAGGTTAGAACTGTGCTGTATATAGTACTCGTACACGGTAAGCCACAACAAAAATACAAGTACACGCACAGAGTAGGAAGTGGATGATCCCATAGCATTTTGTTTGTGCATTGTTTACACAAAGCACAATATACAAATTAAAATAATTAAAACCATTATTACGAATTCTAGGCACGAAGTACATAAAATAAACACGCACAGGGCCGCTCATACTCGTCCGCTCACCAGTCAGTACGATTCAACTCTGGAACCACCAGATGGATTTGGATAGTTTTATATGGAGATCGTGCCACTGTCGACTGCCCTAAAATTGTACTTTTCAATTTCCTACAATCCTGAAACCAACAGAGCGGCAGTGAACGAATATAAGCCCTTGACGGGAAAGCATTTATATTCGAAAACGACGATATTGAACCACGATCACCTGGAACAAAGTTAAGCCAGAATTCAACAAGACAACTTCGTCAAACAATAATTAATTCAGAAGCACTTGATATCCCTAAAGTTCTCAATGTAAAAAAACTACGGCCCTTTCAGCATGGCCTTGGCTTCTCCTGCGATCGATGCCCAGTGTTCCCTATTCTGTGCTTTACTTCTCCAGCCTCTTACGCCCATCTGTTTAAGATCAGACTCCACGTCTTCGATCCACTGGAGTTTCGGTCTTCCTTTCTTTAATTTGCCAGGTTTACTATTGATGATCATCTTACATCCTCTATCGTCACTCATTCGGAGTTCATGTTCAAGCCATTCTATCCTCCTTACCTTTATTATGACCACAATATCTGAGCTTTTGAACGTACTTCATCATACAGAAACTGGAAAGGAGAAGAAAAAAATCAAGAGAAAGGAAGAGGTATTTGGAGTTGGCCGTCTTCTGGGTTGTTGCCCTGATGATGGAGGCAGAAAGGACCTCTGAAATGAAGGTAAACTTCTACCAGACTACATGGCGCAACAACCCAGAAGCCATCTTCAGACATGCTGCCATGAAAACCTCAGATCCTGCTACAGAAGAGGTATTTCTTGAAATGCAAACCGAGCCACAAAAATGACAGCGAAGAATTATTTCCTTCTTCTTCACCTTTGGCTGAAACGGAAGAACAAGCACGTTGTTGCTTAAATACACGAAGATTTTTTGAGATGATGTTCAATTTCATTCTTAACTTAAAGAAATTTCTTTCTATAAAATTAATACAACGGGACTAAAGACAGGAAACAAGCGAGGTGGAAATTCTAACTTCCGAGTGACAGATAATCAAGAAAGAGACAGTGGGTTGCTTATTTACAGAGAATAGACAAAACAAGACTTGCTTCAAAGAACAATTTACGTTCTAATTGTTGATTATACACTTTAGAACAAAGGCCTGCCTATAAGGATTGTGATGAATATGCTGGAAATATTTTTCTTAATAAATGAGACAGTGACATATTCACATTCACCCTACGGCTCTGTCGATTCAACTTAAGACAAATGTAAATCCTTCCATCAAACATACAACTTACAAAACAAATTCTTTTTCCTATTTTGTTAATTTCACATGTTCCAATAACTGTCTGAAACAAATTAAATTCAATATTTCAAAAAATTTATAAAGCGTCAAAATGAATCTTAAATGTAAGTCAAGAGGCTTCACCAGCAAATAAAGACAGATACTTATAATCTGTATCTGAAACCTGCACATGCTTAATTTGTTCCATAAAGTTACAATACTGAAATATTCATTGTACATAACATTGAAATAAACAAGTTCAATGTGTGTTAAAATCTTGTATCACACAAAGTTTCAAAAAAATCAGAATATACCAGAGAACAAGGAATGCATATGAATGACTTTCTGACTTAAATTCCCCTTTATACGAAGCCCAGAGAAGGCTCTTAAAAATAAGTGTATCCCAAATCTATGCTTCCAACTTAGAGGAACCCCAGTTAGCGCTATGAGGAGGCTCAATCATAACTGCAGGAATCCCTAACTACATTTAGAAGGAGCAAGATTCCAGATGTCTTGCGAAAGTTGTCACGAGCTAAGATGAGGAAGCCGGAATTCTCGACGAATGTAAAACATGATGTACGGCTTGCACTTGGCCACGACCTCGTCTTCGGTTAAGCGGACCGTACTGTCATTGAAATGGAACCACTGACCTGCAAGAACAGAACCAACATTAGCTTAGAAAATATTACACCCTGCAACTGTTTATTTAAATGTGACAAGAAAAGTAATGGGGGTTACTAATGTAGAATAAAAAAAAAACTTCTTCTTTCCAGTTTAACAATGTTTGTACATTTTACAGTACCCTTTACGGGCCCCCAACTTTTCAGTTGGCTTGATCTATGGACATTCGGTAGGACTCCTTGGACGAGGGATCGGCCCGTCGCAAGGCCTCTACCTGTGCACAGGACAGCACAACACAGAAAACATCCGTGGCATGAGTGGGATTCGAACCCACGGTCCCCGCGACCAAGAGGCACAAGGCCCACACCTCAGACCGCGTGGCCACTGTGGACCCCTAAAAAAACTTATAAACTGAAAACAGAGGTGATAGGTTCCTCCGAAATGCTGGCAACCACCTATAAGACTATATGGTATCATAACCGCGACTGTTTAACAACACCATTGGTAACTCAGAACGTATAGTGTTGGGACTTCCTACATAATGCAATTTTATATCTACACTGTGGACTCCATAACATCATTTATGTTTATTCTTTCCACGTTATGCAAAATATGTACTTCTTAGAAACACTGGTTCTTCCCCTCCTGCTGTTTGATGGCGTCAGCGAAAAGTAACATCTCCTTGCCTTTGATGATGTGTAAATCTAATGATTTCAGGTTTTTGTCAGAGGAAATATAAGTCAGCATAAAGATATAAGATCAAATGAATTTGCTTCATAGTCAGCACAAAGACAATCACACAATAAATGCAAAAAATATGTAACTTACCATCATTGACTGCAAATGCTGTATAGTGACCAGATCCAACCCTGCACAAAAAAAAGGATTCTCAGCATGTAGCACATTTAAATTTATTATGGTAACTTGTGTTTGTGCTGCAAAGAATATTTGTAAATCACTGCAAAAAAGTCCATTAAATATCAGACACCGAATATTCAGAAATTCATAGTGCAATGGTAACTCAAGAGACGCTGATGACAATAATTCACAGACAGGAGAGTTCCAAATAAAATAAATGTGAGTGCTATTGACAGGTGTACACATATTTACTATATAACACGTTACTAGTTGGAACACTTGTAGATTTAATATTAGTCTTACACATAATGTTTCTGTTAGTTACTTATCTTGCTACATAGTTTTTAAAACTGCATAACCATTGTAAACTGACACATGTTGATACAACATCCTCCCAAAGTTTAGTTAAAGACTGTAATCCATTTATAATTACATTCTTCCAATGTACATAATATTTATATATTTCTAACAGGAAACAAAATTAATGTATGGAGACAAAGTTATTTACTATTGCTGAATGTACTACCAACTGTACTTGTAAAAAATATTCAGTACTAATCAACGGATAGCATGCATCACCCTGATGACGGAGACAGCGAGGACCTCTGAAAAGCTGGTAAATTTCTGCCACACTACACAACTTAACAACCCAGAAGACAGCCATCTACATACTCACCACTGTGAGAACCTCAAATCCTACATATAAAAGAAGATAATCAATTGAGCATATACGAGGGGCAGTCAAAAAGTTCCCGGAATTGTGGTATAGCACGGTAATGGTAGGACATATGGCAACACTTTCAAGAAAGAAGAAAGAAATCTTGCTACCAAATGGGTTAACATAATTCAGATCTTTCCATTTCTTCAAAAAAGATAGAAAAATTAAACACATTACAAGTATATAAAAAAATTGACAGTGGAACCACGGTTCCGGAGAATCTGATGTAAATACGTCTTTGTATTTAAATCATCATCATCATCATCATCATCGGACTCTTTTAGCTCCAATGTCATCCATATTGTTATCTCTACATAGTATGACGCAACACACAAACGCAGCAGTAGCGTGAAGTGCGATCCGCCTCTATCCCTTACCTCAAACTGTGTTCACTTGTAAGAGACCACGATGTCCACTGGCAAAGATCAATTTAATCAAAACTAAAATGCAGAGAGTGGAGGGCAGTATCACAGATTTCTTAATAATTCTTATATAAGATAAGTACTTGTGATATTCTAAAACGTTTCTAACAGCACAAAATTATCTACTCTACGATGCACTTCTTCTACAAACGATTCACAGCTCAACTCTTTCCACTATAACGAAAGCGGATTGTTGACGGCAGTAATGAAACACACCAATGCTGAATAAACAGATGACACATCTTCGTAACGCTGTTTTTGCCGAATGACCCTTCCCTATAGACGTATTTACGTCAAAAAACAAGCCTTTTGTAGGTGTCATGTTATGAAGTTGTTTCATTGTTGTGGAATGATCTCAATGTGGATTATCATGACAGACATTCACTCACCCTGAACCATGATGAACAATAACAGCCGCTAAGTCATAGAGATTGCTTCCCATTCCTGAGCGCCGAGTTTCATGCAAGGAGCTTAACACAAACTGTGACATATCAAGTGCTGTGACTGGAAATGAAATGTTTGTGTCTATCTTTGTGCGCAAGGAGTTGTGCCATCTAAACCTCTTTAGATGTAGACACAGTACCTGAAAACAAGAACAATAACATATGCAAAGTGAACAAAATGAATTGCAAAACTTGATAATGAAGACATTTTTCTCATGCACATAAGCTGAATAAACATCAGCTCTGTCTCTTGAAAACACGACACTTTACAGAATATCTGGAGACCTGACACAAGTCACACAAAATAAAACCTGTACAAACACACATGCCAGCACCAGTTTTATATGAACCGTGATTTACTTTTATTGTATCATCAAATTCTAAGACACTGAAATGTCAAGCATAAAACTGTTTCAAATAACAAATACTAATCTTTGCATGATGGTGTAAAAGTAAGGACATTACAATAGCGAATAAAATGCACCTATCCAGGATAAGCTTAGAAAGACAGTGTCTTTGGAGGATGGTCTGTAGAAACTTCAGCTTTTAGACTTAACTTCCTAACACAGATGGCCTGTTATGGATACTGTATTACAAAATATTTTTTTTTAAGTCTTCTTGCTGATGGATATTCTTTCAACTTGTTCTCTCCAGTACCTTCTACAAACACGCATACATGGTAGTAACCCTGTAACTTTGTTGTTCTGTTTCTCTTTTACAGTCCGGGATTTGGAAGAAGCAACACTATCAATGAACTTATCACATAGTGATCAGGAATAAAACATCTTCCTAGTTTAAAGTTAATATGATGCAAAGCATATTTAATACACAGAATCTTCAAAAACTAAGAAACAATCTAAAATGCTCAAAATTTTTTAATCAGGCCACATATTAGAATTGCTGCACAACAATGGCCCAACATTCAAGTTATTCCGAAGGGTTCTGACACATATAGCTAAAAAAAAGTAGCTACATACTAATCTCCATCTATTCTAAAGAATTCTGATGATGGTGTATAGGCCGTTCGGTGGGACATGAGCTATGGCCTTGGTATGTGCAGTGTATCTGCAGCTCGAACAGTGGGTGGGGTGAACTCAGAGCTCAGTTACAAGGCAGACTCGACCCAGTTCACTTCGTGTGGTAAATTCCATTTCAATAACATTGACCCATTTATAATAGACCTGTCATATTCATCGCTGTTGTTTCTACTCAGCACGAACAGAATGCAAAGCGTGGGCAGAGGTGTAAAGAAAATAGGGGGACGTAGAGTAATACTCAGCCAAAGTAGAGAAATGGTGATAAGTGTTTAAAGTTTTATGAAGAAAGAAGCTGACAGCGGCAATGTGATTAACGTTAATCAAATACAAAATCGTGTTTCTGAAGCTACGCATTTTAAAAGAGTACGAACATAATAAACGAGTGGGAAAATAATTCAGCACACCTCACAAGAAACGGCCAAGAAGGAAAATTGAAACTGATGTAGATGATTTTGACAAGTGTGTAATTCGAAGAACGATTAACGAATTTCACACTACACAAGGCGGGCGTCCTACTTTAAAATCGTTGTTGGCAGTAATTAAGAAAAAGATTAACTTCAGTGGCGGGAAGTGGGCTCTTTGGAAAATAATTAGAGATTTAGGCTTCAGGTGGAGGAAATCGGAAAGTAATAGAAAAGTTCTCATCGAAAAGGATGATATTCGTGCAGCAAGAATATCTTATTTGAGAAATATAAGTCGTTACAGAAATGAGACGACAGTGATACCAACAGTTGTAGCAGTAGTGAGGAAGAGGAGAGGGAGGAAGAAGATGCAGAAGAAGATGATGGGGAATTAAGTGGAATTGAAGCTTTGTAAAATGTTCGTCAGCCGCTGTAAGTAATTCAATCTGCACTGATATTTTTGTGTTCAGTAGTACAGAGAAATCTGTTCCCCTACTCGCCCCACTATTGCTAGCAGACAGCGTCAGTACCCTCCCTCACGCGCAGTCCACAGCTCATCACTGAGCGAACGACTAATAATACAATGTGTACTGTTGGGTTTCTGGACCTTGTCCATCATCTGATGTTATAAAACACACAATGTTGCCCGGTGATTGAATTAGCTCAATCCCCACAGACTAGGTGCCCACTTCACGACACCTGACGACGAGGATAGATCCAGTCCTCAAAACGTTGTGTATTTTATATCATATGATGGGAAAGGTTCAAATACCCAGTGATCCAGATTCAAGTATTTGTTCATAGGTACTCGACATGGCTTTCACCAGTGATGCAGCATACACCTCATCTGAATACAATCTTCTCATACTGCACATATCTTCGGACTCTCAGTTCCCTTTTGGACTGTGGCAGAGCAGAAATATAAACTATGTGCTTGACAGAGCTACAAAAATGAAAAGCAGGGGGTATGAGGTCACGTGACTACAGTAGCCACCTGATACGTCCATCTAAACCAACCCACTTCTTGGGGAAAGTGTTATCAAGAAGGATATGGCACTGCAGTGATAATGTGGTGGAGTGCCATCCTGCTTGAATAGGATGTCTGCTACCTCAGTATCTTGCTACAGCTGGGTATAAAGAACTGTTCCAACATATTTGGAAATAATATTTCAGTCATAGTTTTCTAAGTAAACAAAAATGGTCCATAAATCTTTTAAACTGTGAATGTCCAGCTGTGTGGTGGGAAACTTGAATAATGAACCTTTATTGTAAAGCAATTCATTTTCCAATACATAACATGCATAAAACATTATAAACATTTTCAAGTATACTTTAATTTATGGTCACTGTGTATAATGATATGCATTTATGTGTATATTAATTAGAACAATTACAGCAAGTCAGTATCAGAACTTCAAAGTACCAGTTTTTTTAAATTTTTGTATTAAAAGCCACTACAACAAAACTGCATTCAATTAAGTGATTACAGTTCATTTTCAGATTAAGCAACTTCAGAACATTTATTATGAAGCAACCAAGAATGACATGAAATTAGGCCACAGGAAATAAGAACAACTGCAAGAATATTTGTTTCTATATTGATTTTCAATATATGCTCCATTTGTGACTGTGCACATACTGAAGTAGTTTTTTCTTTCTTGCCAGACATTTTGTAGCATATCATGATGAACACTTCCTACATCATTTCATATTGTTCCCTTTAATGTGTTCAAAGTTCCTGACAATGGCTGAACAAAACATTCTTGAAGAATCCCCACAGAAGGAAGAAGAGGGGGGCAGGTAACTGCAGCAGAAAGAGAATGGCCTACTTCTCAGCCAACGTTTATTTATTTCAGTAATGAGGCAATATTTCATCTTAGTGGAAAGGCAAAACAGAAAAATGTTTGTATATGGGGAAGTAATAATCTTCCCTCAACTCATACCACCAAAGATGTGTTTTGCACTGTCTACTGACAAAGTGTATGGTCCATTCTTTGGTAAACAAACAATTAATGGTGCCTCTATATTGTTTACTATAACGGGCTGGAATTTTGCCTGATGCCCCAAATGCTACACATACCAAAGTCATCTTCCAACAACTTCCAACATGTGCACCATTCCATTTCCACAGTAAGTTCACAACATTTGAAGATAAATTCTGAAGTAACAGAATCATAATGGTAAATTCCTTTATGTCCAAAAAGCAGATCAGCATAAGTGGTTCTGACTCTCGACTATTTTTCCATTTGTGCTATTTTTTGCCTTACATAATTGAAAAAGCATTTCCTCAGTTTTTTGATAGTAAACTGAACACTGCACCGATAAATCACATACTACAACAAGCACAAAACAAACTGACAGACATGCTAAGTCCAACCTTCTATGTTTCAACATCACCATTAATTATACTTCTTTAACTCACAGTGGGTAGGAACCAGGGTAGTTCAGCCACTATAGGGACTGGCTAAGGACTGGACAACCAGGGTCTGATTCCCGACAGGGACAGAGGATTTTTCCTCTAGCCTCCGCATCCAGACCAGCCTCCTATCCAATGGGTACCAGGGTCCTTTCCCAGGAGTAAAGCACGACCGGGGCGTGACGCTAACCACTCAACCCCATCTAGTGCCGAGTTTAAGAATGAGTACAAGCTATACCTCCTATATCCCCCCCCCCAAGCACCTACATGGCATACAGCTTCACATTTTACTTTACTCACATTGGGTAGTCTTCTAATCCAGAATCGTTTGGTAGACCTCTGTTTACTCTTACAGTTGTTGCAGTAATATAACTCTGTTTCTGCCAATTCCTCTACTTCAATGAAGCTTGTCAGACAGTCTGCAATATTAAAAGCCAAGAATGTATGAATCAGCCAAATTAGACACAAAAACATAACTACACATACTACATGCACGCACACACACACACACACACACATGTAACGTAAATACATATAAAAGTTACATAAACCTATTACTTTCAGTACTATTATTGGCTATTCATTTACCTAACATATCTGCTTCAAACACATAAGAAAAAGAATACAATCTTTAAGTCATAAAAGATGACCGAATCACATTAACATTAAAATTGAGACCACATGTTTAACTAAACAGATTTAAGCACCCCTACATTTACCATAGCTATTTGCAGTCGCCATACATAATGTTTTTCATATATCCCAGAGAATGTAAATAGCCCTTTCTATTAGACCCGACAGAATAGGCATTTTCTTCTGAAAACAGGAACACAGCCAGCTCTCAAAACATAGTACAGTGGTTTTTGCAATATTGAACGATGAATCAAATCCACAGAAACAGCAATACTGAATGATCACTACTGTTCCTAAAAACCAAATGGCTAAAGTGTGTGATGTCAGTACATGAGCAAAATGTACATAACTAAAGAAAAAGAAGAAACAAACAGCATATTGGATCAGCAGTGCAGCATATGTATCAGAGTGGTGTGTACACAACTAGGATAACAGGCAATAAAAACACATTGAAAACCATTACTGAAACGTAGAGGAGACTGTACCAGATTTTTCCATAGTGTATCTAATATGAATTTAGGAGTAGTAAATAACAAGAGTAAAATTTTTTCTTTTGATCATATACCTACATATTTAGGCAATAGCACTATTATTCCAGAACAACTTCTAAACACTGACTTACAAAAGCAAGGAAATGTCTGGAAAGAGTCTGTGAACAATTCTACATACAGCATTAATAAAGCAATTTTATACCCACAAAGTAATGATGTTAACCAAATCAATGAGGAAATTCTTAAGTTTTAACAAACAGGTTAAAACTTACCTGACACTTCAAAGATAAAGACACATTTCTCAGTGAAGTTTGAGGTCACATATTTGTCTGACCAAGAACTACCGACAGTTGGAGGGTATTTGCAAACGTTTGCATTATACAGAGAATCTAGAGGAGAGCAGAGAAAGCAAGGGAGAGACTGCATGTACTGTATAGCTTATGTCACCAGTCAATAAAACAAAGTTTCTGTAGTTTACCACTGGTAATCCTTGGTCAGACATAATATTCCTAATTTTCTACTACTGAGGTAGCTACTGATGTTACACATGCACCACAATCAGTCATATTATTTTGTTGCTGACTATGCTTGAAATAAAAATTTACTCAAGCATACTTTATAATCTTCATGTGACGTAAAATCAAGCAGCTGGTTACTACATAGTACGTGCATATCAAGTGTCCACTTGGGCCAATGTGGTGGTTTCAAATTAGAGCCCCCATATACAAAATGACTATACCGATTTTGGACATCAAGATGTTTGTTTTGAGAAGAAAAAATTCCATATCTTCATAAAAAAATTCACATTCTACAATAAATACTACTCATAACTAAACTTTACATATTCACATCTAAATACACTTACAGAACAGACAGACTAAACTGAAACAAAAGACTTCACTGGATTCTGACCTTCTGTAAACTTTTACATACTGCAGCAAACAGGTCTGATAATTCTCAAATCTTTTAATCTGTCCAATATTTGAATGACATTAGCATAAGAATAAATTGTTGTCCACCTCTGTAGTTCCCCCTGTTCACTCATAATTACAAATCACAGAAAAACTTACAGAATTCAACATACAGATTACAAGTTTATGGGGGGGAGGGGTGAAAGCCTGGCTCAAAATTAAGTTATATACACTGTTCCTACAGGTAAACGTTTACATTTTAATAATTACAATCAGTATAAATCGTCTGCTAACCAGCTAAGTTGCAAGGTGGTGGTAAATCTTCACTATCCTTAGTCTTCTTGAGAAGTTGAAACTTTTCTGGTATGTCCAATGAGAGGTCAAGGAATGGATCATGTTTCTTGGACTCTGAACTGCAGTTCAGACACCGAACCTGAAAGAGCAGAGATATAGAAACTTCAGAAACTATATTCCACCTAAACTGTTCAATTGCAACTGGACAGTAGCCCTACATATTCTTAACACTTTATGAAACAAGGGGGACAACAAAAGTGGAAGGAAAGTCAAACTGCCACATGAGAAATTAGAAGTAATGACATCAAATAAGAATTAATCAAATTTAACTTTAAATGATAATAATTAAAATATGGATACAAATGGAAAATCCAGATGTGTTAAAAACCAAAACATCCTAAAATACTGTGTGTGTGTGTGTGTATAAAAACTGATCCCACACTATGCCAGCTTATTCCTTTCATGAAGATATATATCTTCTGGGTTATAGCACAATGTAGTCTGGTAAAAGTTTACCTACATTTCAGAGATCCTTGATGACTCACTGCCCTGATGATGGAGGCAGCAAAGACCTCTGAAATTTTGGTAAACTTCTACCAGACTACACAGCACTACTACCCAGAAAATGGCCATCTTCAGACTCACAGCAGTGAAAACCACAAGTCCTACTTATTCATTTCATGTTTGGTAAGACAGGTTTAAAACAATAGGAGTTATAATTGATTAACTCTTCTTACTGAACACACAAAACGTAACACAAGAAAAATGACCCAAAAAAGATGACAAAATCTGCAGGGGTACATATGCACACTACAGCCCTTCTATTACATACACTAGCTGCATCACAAAAAGTGGTATAATTTGATTTGAATAAAAATTTTCTTGGATATTATCCATCGTCTAGTAAAATATAAAACGTAAAACGACGTTTCGGAGATGGGGCCCTATCTCCGGACAAAGTAAAAAAGTGAAAGTCCCGGAATAAAAAGACATCACCACACCATCCATCAGTGGGACGTCTTCAGGTTCCTACTCAGTTGGGCCCACTAGATAGAGCTAATCCCTATCTCTGGACAAAGTTCATGAGTTCTACTGGTTCACCCTGCTACATCCTTGCGGAATTCCTGCACAAGACTTTGGTTCCTCTGAGTAATAGCACGGAATCTTTCGTTAAAAATTCGGAACATTTCATACAACTATTGAAGGATATCCATCTTCAAAGTGGAGATATACTGGTTAGTTTCGATGTAGTCAGCCTATTTACCAACGTACCAGTGGAAGAGGCCCTGTGTGTCATCAAGGAAAAACTTGGTACAGATTCTACTTTATTGGACCGGACATCATTACAGGTTGATGACTTGGTGGAACTGTTAGAGATATGTTTGACCACTACCTACTTTCAATTTGATGAAAAATTCTATCAGCAAAAGCAGGGAATGGCGATGGGGAATTCGTTGTCTCCAGTCGTTAGTAATATTTATATGGAGTATTTTAAAACTTGGCTTTAGACACAACTGATCACAAACCAGCCACTTGGTTGAGATATGTGGATGATACATTTGTGGTTTGGTCGCATGGTCCGGCGAGATTGCAGGAATTCTTTCACCATCTTAACAGTCTCAGACCGTCAATACAATTTACCATGGAGATGGAAAACAATGGTACTCTTCCGTTCCTGGATGTTTTAGTCATGAAGAATGGTTTTAGTTTACTTACGGATGTTTATAGGAAACCCACACATACTGATCGATATTTAAATTTCAAATCTAATCACCCACTCCACGTTAAAAGGGGAGTGGTTCACAGTCTGGTTAATAGAGCAAAGATCATATGTCAAGAGAAGAACAATTTTAACAGAGAAATTAAGATCATCAAACAGGATTTATCTCTGAATGGGTATCCTCGCCAGTTAATCGAATCTGTTATTAAGTCTGAAGAAAATAAACATCCGGCCGTCTCCTGACAGAACACCTCTGGGTACGGCGGTTATCCCATATGTCAGTGGTGTTTCAGAAAAATTTAGAAGAATTGGGAACCGTTATAATATCAGGACAATTTTTAAAACCAGTCACACTCTCCGTGGTTTATTGATCTCCATGAGACCCAGAACAGTCGAGAGACAGACTAGGCAGTGTGTGTACGGGATCCCGTGTGATTGCGGTAGATGGTACATCGGCGAAACCAGCAGACCTCTGGAGGTACGCATAAAGGAACATAAATATAACTTCAGACAGGGCCTGCTAGAGAAATCCAGATTGAGCCAACATGCGTATGAAGATCATCATGTCTGTTGGGATGGAGCCAGGGTGTTATTAACAGAACCCAATACTGTCTACAGGAAATACAAGGAGGCGGCACACATGGCACTACTTGCCAATCCTATTAGCCAGCCTAGTTTGGATTTATCTCTTTTTTGGATTCCGGTCATCTCTGAAGAAGTCCAAGTTGTGCATCGAGTTTCAAATTAATGTTCATATGTATTTATTCCCACATTTTGTGAGTTTTTGTTTTATTTGGCTTTATCGTGTTTAACGAATTTTATTTCTACTATTTATTCTTTTACGTCCCACGGATGGATGGTGTGGTGATGTCTTTTTATTCCGGGACTTTCACTTTTTTACTTTGTCCAGAGATAGGGCCCCATCTCCGAAACGTCCTTTTACGTTTTATATTTTACTAGACAATGGATAATATCCAAGAAAATTTGTATTCAAATGACTCTTCACCATCGTCAAGAAGTTTTAGATTAGGTATAATTTGAATTCAACTTGATCCCCAAATTTGGCCAATGACTTAGTCCTTTGGAAACACCTTCTGATGTTATGATGTTTTCTCACACTGTGGCCCCCACAGATCGGGTTAGAGGTGATTTCAGTCGTTTCTGCAATTCTGTTTTCCACACATCTTACAGTGTTTTATGAAGCCCATAAGAGATGTTCAGATGATTATGAGCTATATGAATCTTGAAGAAAATAGACTGTAAACCAGTAATGGTGTTTGAGAAAAATTATGCTCTGTAGTAGCTAATTTCATGGAGCAAAGTAATTCTTGGGCTAACAAGTGCTCAGAAATTCCCCACCTTTATAGCAAACAAATGGTTCATTATCACCTTCAGAAGGGCCTGTGCCATTAACTAAAGAGGATTAAAGAAAATTCAGTTTTGCTGTGGTAAAAATTATCAAATACATGTCACAATTCCTGGACATTCTGGTGTAAACATGTACTTGAAAAAATAAGAATGAAAATGAGTGAGTTCCCATAGTTTCCAATTTTGTATTTTTCAATCAACACAATGTTGATTTATGCAGATACACATCTATTATTCCAGATAGAAAGCCATTACTGCAAACCCAATCACATTAAACACCGTCCCATAATTATCTTTACAACTTTAACTCTTAATAACCAAATAATGAGATGAGATATCACAATGCGGAATTGTTTGAAATGAAATTTGTAGATATTAATGAGACCCCCTATTTCATGTATAATTTATTTTGTTATATGATGAACCATTTGTTTTATAAAATTCTGAAGTTAACTCAAAATCCACAAAGCAGAGGCTGTACAGAAAGAATATAAACCCAAATTAATTCTTCTCAACAGCTTTTAGTACAATACTGACTGCCAAAGACTGAAATGCACAGGCAGGCAATAACACAGTACTGGTCAAAAGCAGAAGAAACAACAAATGACAATGAACACAATATATATACTTATTGTAGTACAGTTACACAAAGTATACTTAATCAAAGAATTTAAAACATTGGGGTATATAACTAAACTGCTTTAATAAACTGGGATGCAGAATTTCCATGTTTGAAAAAGAATGATACAGAGGAAAGTAACCAAATTTCCATGCACACGACATAATACAAAGAACCTTAAATGACAAAACAAATAAAAACACACAATTTTAAAAACCATGGTTATATCTGAACTGATGTATGGCTCTGAAAAATGGGAGGAAGAAAATAAGATAGAGATCTTGAATGAATGGAACAAACTTTTAATACAGAACTCCAATTCCGAATGTTGTTGAAATTTTAACACATTTGCTGCTAAAGTCAACTTCAGTTGACCTATTAAACCTTGCATAAAATTTCCAGTGATGAGTTACATCGATCTAAATATTCTTCTGTTCTATATTTATAATTGTACTAAGTACATGACCAGCACAAAGGATATATGTTCAACAGCAATATCTGCCATTCTAAAACGTAAATAAATACAATATTGTATTTTCAGTGCTGTCCTCTCCATCCATCACACACTGAAAGTCTACCCAAGAGTTTGTTGAAAATTTCAAATTTTTCTATCCAATGCTTTCCACACAATCATTTTGTATAGATAAACATGAAAAAATTGGCAGACCGCTTCAAAAAACCCTAGTATTTAAATCTAGTCATCTCTTTAAATACCCAGCAGTGGATGTGCTAACAAGTATTTTCAGAGATAAAATGTGGACAAAATAGCAAATATTGTGATTATTATTGGTCATGCATCTGAGACGCAAACAGATTAGGACAAAGCGCGAGTGTGTCAAATTTTAATAAGGCTAAGTGAGTGATATACTCTACAGATTAAAATATGCTTACTTCACTCTGCAAAGTTCCGCCAAACACACTAGTCACTATTGAAGATCGACTCTTATGACCAAGGGAGATGTATGGGTTGTCTTTCAGTGTGAAGTCAGGAAGTAGATGAAGCAATTCAGTGTGAAGTCGATCCAACATATACCGTAGGAACTCATGAGCATCTTGTTGCTGGTAACCTCTGCAAAGCCCAAAACCACAAAATTAATGTACTAAACTGAATCACAAAACTGAAGAACTCTGAAGAAAAACACTTCTGACATGAGGACAAAGTGAAAGCCAAGATGTGCCATGGGATTAAAACACTAAACCAAGAGTTCTTCTCTGTGGGATCAAACATTTAGCATTTGTTTAAAGAAAGAGAGGATTTGTTCATTATTCTCTGTTCTTTTGGATGTTCAAATACTAAATACAAGTGTAACACTCACTTGGAGGATACTTACTGAAAAGCCCACATACAAAATTACCGGACAAAGATAAAATTTACTGTATCTTAAAAAATACACAAATAAATAACAATAAAGAAAGCAACATTACTTTTCATCATCATCATCATCATGACTGGCTCTACAGCCCTGTGTGTGCCCTGGCCTTCTTTAAAAGCCTCATCCATTCTTCCTCATTCACAGACAAACTGTTTGCCAGTCCGCTGTGAATGAGTCCATCCGGCAGTTGCTTCAACTGACTTCGTAACAACCTGCTTTTTACAGGGTGAGGTTGTCAGCCCCACGCCCAACCCCCAACATGGAGGACCAGACCTCCGTATTTACAGCCCCCGGAGGTAGGGTGGACCAGCTATTTACCCAGGCATTGGGTAGCTCGGGTACCTCGGGGGTGCCGGTCCCCGTACCCACTGATGTGGGTCCCTGAGGGGAACATTACCTTTGCCAATACAATTTCATATACAAAAAGGATCCTACAATTCTTCATTCTTCAATCAAGACCTTCAAACACAGATTCTTTACAAATTATGATAAAATGGTCTGCTTCCCACAGTAACAACATAAATATCATGACAAAATGTGATTACAGTATCATATAAAAGAATGAACATCTACAGGAAACAACAAAATGCTTAAATATACTGAAGTAATTTTATTTCTTCTAAAGGCTTCCAACTGTCCTAAATGTCTAATTACAATAAAAACAAATTTAATAACCTTACCTAAAACGAGGTACTATTTTCCAGATGACTAAGAACAGGGATTCAGGTGATATTGCTCCTTTTGATCCACCTTGTGTTAAACTAATAAGAATCTTCCTGAGTTCTTCAGCCATCAAAGCATCATTCATCTCTCTCAGACTTCTTGATTGATACACTTTCCTTCCATTATTTTTTGCATTCTCTAAGGATGGAAGTTGTTTGAAATAGTAGCAAAATTCTTCAATGTTGCTGTAATGAATAAAGAACATTAAAAAAGGAGAGATAAAATGTAATAACCGAATCTTCGTCAGGTGCAACACATACTATGCAAGAAGAGCTTCATCACATCCACGTACAAAAACAATTAAACATTTACAACAGGACCAATTAATTTAAAGTATTTTAATTACATGGAAAATTTCAATATGCTCTGAACAGAAGAAAACACTTTTAGTAACACAGGTTAAGGAATTCCTACACAGCACCATTTTCTTCAAGCTTCACTTCTGACTTCATTATGGAACTTAAGATCTGAAGCTTTCATGGTGATTATGTATAATGAATTCTTCTCTGAACTCTCTTCACTACCATGAGGACAAGGATGAAGATGGTTCTCAAAGCATTGGTGTTTTCTCCATTAAACCACATTACACGGCTGGTAGCCCAGAAATAATTCATTACATTATGGAACATGTTTTATTTAAAGATGCTGTCTAGCTCCAACCACATACCACCATTATCTTGACAATCTTCAGATTCTTGACTAGAGGGGAGAGTATTAACATCACAAGAAGAACTTTCCTCCATGGATACAGGAGATGGTGGCTCGGGTTTTAATGAAATATGGCATGGAAAGTCATACTGAAAGCTACATAGCATACTTCATTTGGTTCATATGAAAGTTCAATGCTACCTCCACTTTAAAAGAATTCAAAGGAAACTTTACAAATTTCATAAAAATAATGCATCATGCACAAAGCAAAAACTTAAATAAATACTCACAGCTTAGTGTAAGTTGAATATGTATTTTTATCTCAGTACATATTTAAACATTAAAACAATGATCATTACATTTAATAATGAGTTTCATTGACCTAAATAACAACTTGGAAATATGCTGTTTTAGCACAATGAAAAGCAATGCATGACAATTGAGGAAGGTCAAAGACCATAAATGTTTATTCTACATGACAATGACTTCATGGCCCTAATGCAAGGTGACACACAGAGTTCACAGGGTAGAAGTTGAAAACTAGTGTTGAGATGGGTTGGGATAGTTTTATATAGTAGAATGGACTTTCTGTTCAAAGGACAAAACAAAAGACTAGCCTATACACAGACTTGGAGATAATTTCTGGCAGCACAAATCCCAGCTTGAAGTGCATGATATCATAAATAATTATACAGGGAATAGTTGTCATGAGATTACTCCTCACTCCAACAGACAATATTAAGAAACCAGTTGGGGATGGATAGACTGCCTGGGGAAATGTTTAATCAGAATCTAGGGCTTGAGAATGTTGTGTAACAAACAATCTGAAGATGATGATAACAGAATGGCAGAAAAAGAGAGGAAGAATTTCCAAGTGAGTGACCATAAAAGTTATTTTAAATTAATTGATTAGCATGTGCAAGTATATAAAACTGCTGAAACGACACTAAATAGTGACGGTAGAGGGGGAAAAAAAGACTCAGCATTAGAAGTGGAACATTTTCTTTTCTACAAATTTTAGTTTTCACAAGGAGACCATGTTACAATCAAGTCACCCATTTGAATAAATATCGTACATTTTATTAGCTTTGTTAATAACAAAATTTATGCAGTGTAGTACAGTAAAACCTCTCTAAGTTGGAAACTTGGGGTTCCACGAAAATGTGTCCAACCTACAGAGGCATCCAAGATAAAGGGAAAGA